TATTGTGAGTCATGATCTTTAGGGCATAAATTTCCCTTGTTCCCATACATTTTTGCTATTTTCTGGTTGTCCAGTATTTTTCATAAAACTAATATAAACAAGTATATTGTACATATCTGAAATGTCCTGAACAAGATACTGTTTCCTAGTAAAGAGTATAGGGACAGACGTCTGCACATGCTGCTTTTGGAGCTAACCATTCTAAAACCAGAGCGATAATCGCGATAATCACCATATCAAATGGCACAAATTCTTAAGTAAATCTGTTTCTGCCAGTTAAAAAAATAAAAAATAAAAAACAGCCTGTCAATTTTGTGATGTTAATTTGGACACAGTCTAAATCAACTACACAAATGCAAAATTTCTACATTAATGTGTGCCATCTTAGAGTTGCTTTAGCTTTTAGTTGGTCATCAGGGACCTTAAATACATTTCACCTGAAGAAAAATCCATGTGACTAGAATAAAAGCAAGTAAAAGCCAAGTTTACTGAACATGTGGCACACCCCTGTAATCCCAGGAGACTGATACAGGAGAATCCCCAGCTTGAAGTCAGCCTGCGGAATTGAGCAAAATAAAAATTTTTAGGAAAGGGCTGGGGAAGTAGCTCAGTGGTGAAGCACTTGCCTAGTATGCACAAGACCTGAGTTCAATCCCCAGTACCACACGCACTTGTGCACACACACACACACACACACACACACACACAGGCCATGCTCAGTAGACTGCCCTCTGTTGGTTCAATGATTCCTTCTGTGATGCTCATCTGGGTCTCCTGGATAACAGGAGAGCACCAAGATAGCAGAAAGAACAGTGTCTCCCAGAGTCCTCCCAATGTGGGATGGCCAGCAGGAAGCCCTCCCATTGCACCCTCAGCAGGACATCTTAAGACAAGAGTTTGTGACACTCACTCTTCAAGCCTAAGTGCCACTTCCTGCAAAAGTTAGATGGTGTGTGTATTATGTCTTTCATCATAAATAATGGAAATACTACTTTGGCACACTGGTAAGCAACTTTGAAACAGAAAATAAATTCCAAGATGGATGTCTTTTGGAAGTCAAAATGATACTAATTTGAAGATGTGAACTGTTTTTAAATTAACGAATTGGAGCCACTGATTCATCTGTTAGGTGGACTCATCCACTTACTCAAAACCTACATGGAAACCTCTTCGGAAAGAAAGAAACATAGGATTACATAATTTAGTTCCTTTAATGGCCAAAATAAGATCCAATTACTCAGCGGTTCCAGATTAACCCTTTGAACAATTTGACTTGCCATTTTGTCCTATTAGTTGGTTTTTCTTTCATTGAATTGGTAGTAGATTGCTACTATTAGTGAAATCAACTAGTTATTTTGCCATGATCCAAGTATTACCCTAACTAGTTATTTATTCCTATTCTAGTCTACATTATTTCTTTTTTTTTTTTTAATCAGTACCGGGGATCGAACTCATGACCGCCTGCTTGCAAGGCAGGTGCTTATGCCACTGAGCTAAATCCCCAGCCCCTAGTCTACATTATTTCATTTATATGCTCTCAAAAATCAAAACCTTTTAATGTCCACAAAATTATATTCAGAAACAGAGATCATAATAGACTGTCTAAAAAATTGAATATTTCTATGTGTTCGCAATCATTTTTTAAAAGGCTGCAGTTTTATGTATATATGAAAATTTCTAAAAGAAAATACTTATTAGTGAAATGTTTGCCGTTAGGCAAGGAGTGTAGGGCCTTTGGAAACAGACGTATGTTTTGTTATACGAGCCGGGTGTGATGGCACATGCCTATAATCCCAGCACTTGGAAGGCTGAGGCAAAAGGATCACTATGATTTTGAGACCATTCTAAGCTACAAGGCCAGCCTGAACTGCATAGTGAGACCCTGTCTCAAAAAACAAATTTATACAGGATTATTTTTACCATTTTAGCATTATATTTTCAATTTTAGTGCTATTAAGTACCCAAAAGGTAGTCTTTCCAAAGCTCCACAAAGTCTTTTGCAAATAAGAGAAAAACAGATGAGCTGTGTTTGCCTCCATGATGCTCCCTTCTCCCATACTTGTTGATTGCTGAAACAAAATTGGCAAAAAAAAAAAAAAAAAACCTTCAGATGTCAGATTGCTCAAAGATCAAACAAGTGTTTCCTACTCAAGATTAGGTAATTAATAAGAAAATGTTATACAATGCTTGAGAAAATCAACATAAAAGAAGAAAGATTTATTTTGGCTCCCACTTTTGGAGGTTCCAGTTGATGGTCATTTGGTCCCATTTTTAGCTTGTGACAAGATAGCAAATTCTGGTGGGAGAACATATAGCAAAAGATTCTGCACCAGGGAGGAGGAAGCAAAGAGGCAGGAAGAAAAAGGCTGGTTCCCAGAGCCTGCTCCAAGCGCATGCTCACAAGGACCTCACTTCCTTCCAAAGATTACCTTTTGGGTATTTAATAGCACTAAAATAGCACTTCTTAAAGGTTCTATCTACTGCCTTCCAGATGGGGACCAAGCCTTTAAAACATGTTGGGGAACATTCAGGATCTAAATTGATTTTTTAATAAATTGATTTTAACCAGAGAAGCAAAGAAAAAAGTTGCCCAGAGACAGACACCTAACTCTCTCCCTGCAGCACTGGCGCAATTATCATCTGTCCACCCTTTCAGAAGGAGGTAGATGGAATACCTTAAAATGCCTCCAGTGACTTATTTCATATGCTTTTGTGTTCAGTTCCCATAGAAAAAATCAAAGCTCGCTCCCAGGAAATAGAAAAATAACACCACAAGTACACGTATTTGTATCAAAGAAAGATTTTATTTTTGCTGGCCCCAATTCTGTGAAATCTTTTCTTTCATACCTAACACTAGTTAAGAGCTTAAAGATGCATGAAATGGGAAGAAATTTAATTAAGATTGGAAGAATCCCATGGTTCGTGGTAGGTTTGGGTGGAGGATCATTTTATTAGGATTTATAACTTAGAACCATCACAGGATTTCAGAATCTCCCTTATTAAGCAAGAAGCATCTTTTGTTTCCTCTCTTTGTTAGATTTGAATTGCAAAATCCATCTGTGTATATTTTAGAATCCTTATTCTCTGAGAATGAGAATGAAAGAAGTAACAGTTCAGCTATCCCAAAGCATATTCCTTAACAATTCCCACATATCCTAATTACAACCTGTCTTTAGAGAAGAGTTGTAGGCCAAAGTACTAAACTCATTCTATTAAAAGTCATTTTCAGATTTTCTTGTTTTTATAGTGGTAATTTATCTCCGAAAGAGCACTTGTGTCTTTACTTGCAAAGACATGACTAAACAGCATTTAGCAATGGTATAGTTATTTGTTAACTCCTTAAAACTCTCAGTTTAGGGCAGGGTTTCGATACAACCTCATGCTTGTCCTTGAATAAAAGTTTATATCAAAATTCTGAAAAGACCCCAATCTAGGCTGGTTATAATGAGATGACGAAGAGAACAGAGAAAAGATTAGATCGATGGAAATGGTTCTTTTAGAAAACTCTTCAGAAGAACAGAAAGATGTTTGAAAGCTAAAAAGAGACAACCTTTGACATGAAGTCATATTTGGCCTCAGCCCTTATAATAGAACTATCCAGTCTTATGTTATTAAATTCTCAAAATGCAAAAGATTATGATTTCGCGTCTTTGGGGAACAGGTTTCTCAGCCTCTTTCAATAGGATCATGTTAATGACCACAGTGACTGTGAAATTAAACCTCACATAATCTTGCAGAAGTAGTAGAACAGAAATTGAAAGCTCAACTGAGAGTTACTCTGTTTAAAAAACACTTGGCAAAAAAAGAAGATGAATCTGCCAAGTCTGTAGGATATCGCTGCCTATTGAATAGTGAGCTTAAATGCTGAGTCACTAAGCAAAAGCCAGAAAGAAACCAATAACACTTTACTCTTCAAAAGGTATCAGGTATTCAGCAGGGACCTCACTCCCCTGATAGAGAAATTATTTAAGTCCATGTTCCTGGTATCAAACAGAATTAGATAAATATCAGCGATCACAAGGGACTGTAGCTAGCTATTATACTCCTAATACCATGGCCCCTAGACAATGCCCACCCCTGCCCCTTGCCTTGGGATGAAGATTCTAAATTGTCCACATGAAAAAACAGATTTTCCTTATGAACAAATCATATAATCTTATTTCTCTGCATGATAAGGAAAACTTTAAACCTCCACAAAGAGAAGCCACTTATGTTACACGCACTGAGGAAAGTGAGCCCCTGAAGCATGGAGAAAATAGAGAAAAAGTTCAGTTTAGTAGCCACCCAGCTGATGAAATCAGAACATCACAGTCACTTCATTTTGTCAAGATTCTCCATAATCTCTCACTTATAGTTCTGGCTATTTATCAGGACATAGTAGAATTTTCCAAAGCCATTGACTGAAATGACTTGCTTTATTCATGGTTTGGTAAGATTTGATAAGAGACTATTGCCTGCCTCTCAATTAACTGTTACCCCAAATCCAAAATTTCAGCTATGCACTAAAAAGTAGGCAGCCGGGCATGGTGGTACATGCTTGTAATCCCCGCACATGGGAGGCTGAGGCAGGAGGATCACTGTGTATTCAAGGCCAGCCTGAGCTGCATAGTGAGACCTTATCTCAAAAGAAAAGTAGGCAACATGACAACTTTGTATGAGAACAAACTATTTCGTATTACATATTTCATGTAAAATATACATGATGTATTTAATGTACAATATATACTTTATAATATATGGTCATAATGAAAATTATTAAAAAGCATGATATAATATTAACATATAAATAATTATAATATGTAACATTATATTCTTTATATCTTTCTGGACTCAATGTTATTGGGAATAAGAAATAAGAAAAAAAGTAATGTGAACAATGCTCCACACTATTGCACTAGCTGGAAAGCCCAATGAATACAACATTCAGAAACTGGGATGGGTAACTAGAAATGTAAGTGCTTGTGTATTCCAAGCTAGCTCCGCCATTTCTCTTTTCTCAGCTGTTGGCTGGACGCTGGCCTTTTGACCACAATGATTTTGGCGTCTTTCTGTGCAAGCTGTTCCCCTTCCTGCAGAAGTCCTCCGTGGGCATCACTGTTCTCAACCTCTGCGCTCTGAGCGTCGACAGGTAAGGTAGTTCCCTCCCTTGTTTTCCAGTTGGGTTTAGAAAAGCATTCATTATCCTCAAACAGAAAATCAAAGAGTTGGTGCCCAGAGCAGTTTAACAGTTTAAACCATGAAAACCATACCCCTATGGTTTATGATTGCTTCACACATTTGCTGACATTAGCCACCTTTGGCTTCGGTGAGGCACAGCTAGGGCATTTTGCCAATAATATTGCTGTTGGAGATTAAACCTAGGACCTCATCCATGCTAGGTGAGAGGTCGCCCTTCTACATCACCGATTTACGTCACCAACCTTGAACTTTTTAATGCAACTTTAAGCAAACAAGAAAGTTATTTTGACCATCGGCAAAAAAACCAATGCATTCTATATGCAGTCTTCCTGTATAATATTATTACCTGTTATCAGCTGCAGTATTTAAAATGATGTGGTACAGATAAGCATACACTGACAGGTCAACAGGAAACTCAGAATAAGCCCTGGAGTACACAGTCGTGTAATGTGCGCTGAAATCACTTTGAATATAATGGGGACAGGGAAAGATTCTTTCAGAAGTAGTGTTAGGATTCTCTTAGAAATAGTAGCCATTAGGCATATCTTATCTGATATTATATTATTGATAATAGTATTTATAATAATTGCCAGTTATTGATATTAGTGAGTGCCAGGTACTGATACAAACATTTCACAGAAATTACTTTTACTTAACTGTGATGTATGCTATTATTATACCCATATTACAGATTGGCAAGCTGAGGTCAAATAAGTTAATTCCACCCACATGTCTACTAAGCATTAGCACCACTAGTCAAATGTAGGTGAGCTTTCTTCTTAAGCACTATAGTTGAGCATGTAAAAACTCAGTCATAAAGCAGTAAAAGAAAATAAACAAGTACCATTTAGATCTCTAGAAAAGAGAGACTTCCTAGAATTACAAAGAATGATAGAAAATCTGAATAAAGTTACAAGTGTATTTCAAGAGATAACATTTTTTAAATTCAGATTAAATATTCATCTCAGAGGTTCTTCTTGCTGAGATTCAGCCAGACCCAGTGCAGGTCTCACCGGTACAAGGATACAGTCAGCTCACTTCACTCATAGATTCCAATCATTGAAAAGGGGTCACTGCACCACGCCCCCATCTCATGTGTGGAGAATCACAAACCATTATTCTGCATACAGAGAATGAAATACGAATCATTCCTCATTAGAAAAAGAAAAATAATACGACCAAGAATGTATTTCATTAAAACTTGGGATGACTTTTAGACTAAGGAGGTGAACCATTGAAATCTACTCCCACAAAGATCATCCTTAATCCAGAGGTTTTCCTCCTTGCTAATTAATACACTCCTCCTCCTTTGTTCTCTAGATTCATTCTTTACCCTTTTTACATCTCATTTGATATTCACATGAAGCTTTGGAACTTATATATGAAGAATGTGCTTAACATTTCTATTTCAAAAGGTCTTACACCTGAGAAAGAACCATTCACAATTCCTGAAGATACCATTTGCTTTGAGTCTTCCTTTGATTGCTGTACACACACACACACACACACACACATACACACACACACAATCGATTTTAAAAGAATAAAACAAGCACCAAAAGGGAGGGAAACCAAAGTCTGTTGCAAGACAATCTGTACTTTTTGAATCCCTACTTTCATTGTCTGAGCTGAGTAAAATTATGGCCCAAGAAATCCTGAATTCCCCTGATTTTATATGATATTTTAAACAACATGATTTCCTCTCATTTCAAAGTTATTTTGAGGGAAAATAATGAAAGAAACTATACATCTAAGATCTACAGAATTTATTATACCACTGATCGCTCAATGATTATAGAATGCTGTAAGATCAAAGAAAAAAGTTGTAGTTTTCTATCAGGTTTTAATATGAAAAAACAAACAAGACAGTAAGAAAAAGCAGAAAGAATGAGCTTTCGCTGTTCAACTATGATTTGTCTGTTTAATCTTTTTCTAATTCTTCCTCAAATTTAACTTTTTCTTATCTTTAAGTTTACATCTTTTGGATTTTAGGAAAAAGATAAAGCAGGAATTTTTTTTAAAAGTTAAGAAATTTAGGAACAAATTTTGACCCATGACCAGCTTTATCAGTAAAATAACTTTTTTAATAATAAAGCAGTATACTTTCAGAATGAATGAGTGTTTCCCAACAAAATATGAGTAATAAGCCATTACCAGCAATCAAAAACTACCATAGGTTTGCCAGCATTTCATAAAGACAAGTTTGTGTCACTTTGAGTCTCAGAGGGAGGGAAACTCAGTGCTGTTCTTTGTGAAGTTAGCAGTTTGTTTTTAAAGTAAGGGAAGATGACAGGGTCAGCCATAAAAGGCCTCGGTACAGATCAAAGTTGTAGTTAAAAGATGTCTGGGAAGGAGGCTGTAAAAAGATAAAACTCCTTTAACATCTGTTCCAGAGCGATGTATAATTAGATACCTGGAAAAAACGGCAAAGATCCATTCATAAGGCTGCTTTGTTTTACATGCCTCACACTCCAAAGCAGATGTCAGTCCATCGACTGTCATCTCAGATATGCGCTCTGTGGAGTCCATGACATTCTCAAAGGATTATCGTAATTTAAGGAGCATGAAAACGGTTTTCTGAGAAGGCCTCATCACTAGACTTGAACTTACACTGCTGTTATAATTTTATATTGCTGTATAGCAACAGTGAAGTCTGAAAAAATGTCTGCTCCAAAAGGAAGAGGCTGGGAACTGGACAAAATCAAACACAAGCTAGGGCAGTGCAGGTCTCACTCCCTGGGGTCTGCGCTCTGTTTCATGCGTTTTATCTTACTCTATTGTCAGGATTAGACTGGGTAATTGTTTCTCTTTGGTAACTACCCCAAAATGTAGCAGTTTTAAACAGCCATTTGTTCAGGTATTCAGGATCAGGAATTCAGGGATTCTTCTGTAACTTGTCGCTTCAACTGGGGTCACTGGTAGATTGCAGCTGACACTGAGCTTTAAGAGAGACAGCTGGAGGAAGACCCCTCAGTATTTCACTCCCGCAGCTTCAGGCTCCAGTGCGGAACCTGCTACTCAGTTTAAAGGTCTGTGCTCAGTTGGTGAAAACAATCACAGGCCAGCCTAATTTAAGAGACCCTCTCCCCTCCCCTCCCTCCCTCCTTCTGTTCTCCTCTCCTTTCCTCCCCTCCCCTCCCCTCCCCTCCCCTCCCCCCCTCTGTTCTCCTCTCCTCCCCTCTCCTCTGCCCTCCCCTCCCCTCCCCTCCCCTCCCTCCCTCTGTTCTGCTCTCCTCCCCTCTCCTCTCGCCTCCCCTCCCCCTCCCCTCCCCCTCCCTCTGTTCTCCTCTCCTCTCCTCCCCTCCCTTCTCCCCTCCCTCCCTCCCTCTGTTCTCCTCTCCTCTCCTCCCCTCCCCTCCCCTCCCCTCCCCTCCCCCCCCTCTGTTCTCCTCTCCTCTCCTCCCCTCTCCTCTGCCCTCCCCTCCCCTCCCCTCCCCTCCCTCCCTCTGTTCTGCTCTCCTCCCCTCTCCTCTCGCCTCCCCTCCCCCTCCCCTCCCCCTCCCTCTGTTCTCCTCTCCTCTCCTCCCCTCCCTTCTCCCCTCCCTCCCTCCCTATGTTCTCCTCTCCTCTCCTCCCCTCCCCTCCCCTCCCCTCCCTCTGCTCTCCTCTCCTCTCCTCCCCTCCCTTCTCCCCTCCCCTCCCCTCCCTCCCTCCCTCTGCTCTCCTCTCCTCTCCTCCCCTCTCCTCTGCCCTCCCCTCCCCTCCCTCCCTCCCTCTGCTCTCCTCTCCTCTCCTCCCCTCTCCTCTGCCCTCCCCTCCCCTCCCTCCCTCCCTCTGCTCTCCTCTCCTCTCCTCCCCTCTCCTCTGCCCTCCCCTCCCCTCCCTCCCTCTGCTCTCCTCTCCTCTCCTCCCCTCTCCTCTGCCCTCCCCTCCCCTCCCTTTCCCCTCTGCTCTCTGTGACTCTGTCTCTGTCTCCGCCTCTCTGTCTGCCTTTCTCTCCTCTCACCTCAGCTTTCTTTTTACTCCGGCATTTCTGGTTTCTCCTTAAAATTCTTCCTGGTAACATTTTTTCTCCAAACCTCTATGTGATGATTGATTGGTCTATCATACAAGACATATAAATCATAATCAGCCACTACAAGTGGTCACGTGCTGCTAACTGATGATGGGTAAAAGTAAAGACAAAGTGTCATTGTACCTTAAGGAACTGACAAAATTACCGAAAAATTAATAAATTCCAATCCAGGCAAGGATTCGTCGGCAGGCACTTATTAGAAACTTCTTTCAAGGTAATTTAGCTGCCTTTAATTCCTTTGATCCAGAAATTCCACTCAAAAGAATCTACCCACCTAGGAAAATCATTCAGAGGGAGAAAAAAATCTATAGCTACAATATGTTTATAGTCATGAAACACCGGAGGTTATTAAAGTGGTATCTTCTGAATTTAAGTTTTACTTTATAAATTCTTTTTTAAGTTTTATCAACCATAAAGTGTTTTGTATGCTTTGACTTACACCGGACCATACTGTGAGGGTCTGATAAGCATGCATCAAATCCCTCTGGCTTTGAAAGCGTATAAAAATAAAAATCTACTTATAGTCACACATAATAGCAAACATTGTTATATAAATAAGACGTGCAATTTTTCTTTTTATTTTGGCTTGGCACAGGACAGGGTACAAATAGATGTAAGGGGAAAAGATTCCCCTGAGACTCAGCACACCAGCGCCCTCACTCAGGGTCCCCATACTAGAGGACAGGAGATGAGGTAGAGGTTGGGACAACATACGTGCTCCCAAACTCTGGACCTCACTGGGAACCCTAGGGGAAGAAAAATAAGCCCAAAGTCCTTCCTTGTTTTTTGTTTATTTGGTGGTGAGGGGTTTGTTTTGTTTCTTGAATTTTTTTGTCTTTTTGAGACAGGGTTTCACTATGCAGTTCAGGCTGGCTTTGAACTCACTTTGTAGCCCAGACTGGCCTCAAACTCACAGTGATCCTTCTGCCTCAGTCTCTGAGTACTGGGATTGCAGGCATGTGCCACCATACCTGGCCCCTTTTGTTTTTAAGTGATTTGATTCGTGACTTCTAAAAGTATTAGTTCTTTCTCTGTTGCCTGATTCAGAGTTAACTTGAGAAGTGTGGAGTGTTCAGAATGTAAACCACTGCCGACTCTGATGATCAAAGTAAGACAAAAGTATGGGAACAGACACCAAAACAACAAAAAGACACACTTCATTCAGCAGATATTAATTTGGGGCCTGTCTTTCTAAGAATAGGAAACAAAGTGTCCTCATGGAATTTATATTCCAAAGGGAGAGGTGGACATAAACAATAACTAAATAAATTATTTGATTGATCACCAAATGGAGAAAAATAAGTCCAGGTAAGACAGGGAAGTAAGAAATTGGAAGTAGGGTGTCCAAAGAAGGCTTCTATAAAAATTATCAACTGAGGAGAGTCTTGCAAGAAGAGAGGAAGCAGCTCTCAGGAAATTCTGAGTTTTCCCAGCGGGTAGGAAATCATTGGGAGGAGCTGAGCAAGGAAAATCCTAATCTGAATTAACAAATTCACTCCCTTTGCTGTGTCCAGCGTGGGCTGTGGCCAGTTAGAAAGTTACTGCACTAACCCAGGCAGAAGACCCACAGGCAAACGGTAACAAGTTTGTGCATCTGGTTAGATCCTGAAGAAAGACACTGTACAATTTACAAAAGAATTGGATGTGTGATGGAGGAAAAATAAAGGCTAATACCAGATACGGGCCTGAGGTGGTAAACACTAGGGAATGGACAGGTTTGGAGGCAGGGCAGGGTGAATGTCCATGAAATGGCCTAGTGCAGGTCTCAAGTAGGAAATTGAGTATCCCAGTGCAGAGCTGGAAGTGAGGTTCCAGGCTATAGTTAGAAATTTGGGCACTGTCAGCATATAAATAGTTCAAATGACTACTTGTATGAAACTGGAGGGGCCCGCTGAGAATGTATAGGTAGAAAAGAGATTTAGGACTAACCCCTCGGAGCAATCCATGCAAGAATATAGGGATAGCATGGGGCCTACATAAGGAAATAAGAAAGAGCAAACAGTAAGGCGGGGGTGGGGGGAAGCAGGAGCATGGAGCAGAGGACAAGTGGATAGCATTTCAAAGAAGAGAATGTATTTTTGGGATAGCGATTGGTGGTTAGATGTAAACTCATAGATTTTATGCAAGAGAAGAAAATATATAGATAACAGTCTAACCTGAAGTCTGTTTATAATCACGCCTAGTAAAAAGAGTATATTTGTTTCTTTTAAATAGAAATGCATCTTGGAACATCCAGGCGTTTACATTTTTCACACCTCTCCCCACATCCATATCACAGATAATTTCTTTTAATTGTTCCTTATTCCTTTTTCCTTGTGATCAAGATCTATATGATGACAAATGAAAAATATTCCATTTCTTCATGATATAAGTTAATGAAGGATAAGACTGATTATAAATCTTTTCATAAGCTAGATATTAAAAATTACTCCTGAATATATAAAACTATTGAATTTGCATTAGATTGTTAAGGTGTGTGTATATGTATTGATCAACTTTCTATTACTGTGACAAAATACCTGAAATAATCAACTTATAAGAAACAATGATCTCTTTCAGCTCACAGTTTAGGAGGTTTCTGTACATGGTTCGTTTGCCCTTTGCTGTTGGGCCTGTGGCAGCACACTACATCATGGTAGGAGTACATGGCCAAGAAAGTAGAGAAAGAGACTGGCATCCCACAATCCTCTGTAAGGGCACATAAACACTGACCTAAATTCCTCCAACTAAATCAAACCTTTTAAAGGTTCCACCACCTCCCAAACCACCACAGATGGTGAGAAAAGTCTTACTACACAGGCATTTGGAATCCATTACCTAAACTGAGAAAGGTATAACACTCTGGGAATTCATGGCACACTGTAAAATGGAGATGGTTTGTGAATATATTTATCAAAGTACATATTGACCACATTTACTTAAACCACTTTCTGCCCTAAATTCTGGTTTAAGAAATCTGGCTTTCTTACTCTCTGATGAAAAAAAAAAAGTGATAATGCTCACTTATATTCCCAGTGCTCAGGAGGCTAAGACAGGAAGAATATGAGTTCAAGGTTCTGAGCTCAAACCTAGCGTGGATTATTTAGCAATACTCTGTCTTTAAAAAATAAAAAAGAAAGCAAAGCATGGTGGCATGTACAGGTAATCCTACCGCAAGGGAGGCAGAAACAGAAGGATTACAAGTTCAAATCAACCTGTACAACTTAGCAAGTCTCTATCTCAAGAATATAAAAATAAAAAATGGCTAGGGATGCAGCTCAGTGATAGAGCATCCCCAGACTCAATTCCCAATACCACCACCACCACCGAAAAAAGGAGAAAAGTGTTGTATTTAAATCACTCAACTAAACTCAAGGAAGGAGAGAAGAAAGAGATGTAACTCATTTGACAGCCTTGTCTCCATTTGATTCAGCTTTTCCTGGACATTACTCCTGCATTTCATAAGGCAACAAAGAAAAGAAAATAGAAACAGAAAGCAAAATAAACAGCAATTTTTATCTAACTAGAAATAGACATAAATTTTAAAATGCAATCTTGGCTACATCATAAAAGGAATTTTCTTTGTCTAAACATCACTATATTTTATTTCATTATAAAATAATATGAATTTTTCTGGACATTTTTATTGTATGGAGAAGTCATTTATTCTAAAACTATTTTGCAAAACATTTCTCCAGCAAATTGAAGTAGATCTATGCCATGGGACATCACTATAACATACTCACATCTATAGATTCTAGTCTATAAGCAATTCTGGTAAAGAATTAAGTGGTGTGATTCCTAGAAGTTGTGTTTTCACAGATATACTGTGTAGACATACTGAAACAGTACAATAAATAAAAGCAATAAGGGCTCTTCCTGGTGGGTACGAATGGCATCTAGGCTGCCTTACCTTGATTGATTAATCTTCTACAGTATGCTGCATACCCTGCTAACTCAAATGCACCTGTCCCTAGTGCATTGGTATATTTTATAACCGTCTTCTGGCTCTATCTAGTGAAAGCTAAAAAGAAAATATTTCCTTTCCATTACAATAGTAACAAAAATTTCAAGAATGAAGCCACAAAAATACCACACCACATCACAGGTCTTTTCTTAATAATAAGTCTAAAAGCAATTAGCATCAGACCATCACATCAAGTCAAAGAATAAGAGTTTCTAAACTTTCTTTAAAATGTTAAATTTTCAGTTATCACTAAAGGACAAGAATAACATAAGCATAATTCCTTAATGCCAGAATATATTTGACTAACATAATTGTTTAGTGATGTTGATATCTTATACTCTGTATGAAGCATTCTTTTCTTTTGAATTATAAACCTTAAAGATTTTGAACCAAGGTATTTTCAATTCAGTTTTGTGTGTTCTAACAGAGGACTATACTGGGAGAGATATAATCATTCCTTGACATTTACTAGAATTGTTACTTACTAAAACTGCCACTTCTGTAAATTCCCTACGATCATACTTTGAGTTTAAAAGAAAGAATTAATGGAATATCTAAGGCCTCTATTCACTCAAAGGCATCTAGAACTACTTCATAGATAATACTGCAAGTTTTCGTGTGTTTGTGTGTGTGTGTGTGTGTGTGTGTGTGTGTGTGTTACAGGAGTTTGAATCTAGGCCCTTAGCACTGAGCTACATCCCCAGCCTTATTTTTTGTTTTGTTTTGTTTTGTTTTGTTTTGTTTTGTTTTGCAGCAAGGTGTCACTAAGTCACTAAATGCCCAGGCTAACCTCAGACTTGCAGTCCTTCTGCCTCCATTTCCCAGGATTCTGGAATTACAGACCCACTAAACTCTCTTTCTTGATATATAAAAGAGAATAAGATATTACTATAAAAGTTCTAGGAGCTTTCAGGATCTCTTTCTCGTCATCCAGTTTGCCCCCAAGTTCAAACACTTCTCTGTTGCTGCCGCATTCTGACTTCTCTGGAGACTTTACTAGCCCTAAAGCACAGATCTCAAATGCAAACCTACAGGTACCTACTTTCCAAATGGGTGGAACCCTTAATGCCTTCACTTGTTTTTCACACCAGAACTCACAGAAATTTCCCAAAAAGTCAATGGCTGGCCAAGAAGAGGAGTTTTCCAGCATTTATGATTTGTGTTGAATTTAAATAAATTTAAAATACCCTAACAACTTGATTTTATCATCCATATCTTAGTTACCTTCTCCTTGCTGAGACACAATTCCATACACTCACAACTTAAAGGAGGAAAGATTTATTTTGCCTCACAGTTTGTAGAGGTTTTAATTAATAGTCAACTGGGTCCAAGGCAGGGCAACATGGCAGAGGAGAATTACTCCTGCAGGCAGGAAGCAGAGAGGGATCCTGGGAGGAGAGCAAGAGATGCACCCGTCCAGGCCAAGCCCCCAGTGGCCATCTCTGCTGACCAAACTTCACCTCCCAAAGTCACGCTTAGCATAAACTCAGGAGTAGACAAATACACTGACAAGCGTCATTCCTTCTGATCCAGGTAGCTCCAAAATCCCTGCCCATCAGCACACGAGGCTTTGTGGGGGCATCTAGATATAAACTATAACAACCACATCTTTTGTCTTTTTCTTTCCAGATACAGAGCCGTTGCCTCCTGGAGTCGTGTTCAGGGCATCGGGATTCCCTTGATCACCGCCATTGAGATTGTCTCCATCTGGATCCTTTCCTTTATCTTAGCCATCCCTGAAGCAATCGGCTTTGTCATGGTGCCCTTTGAATATAAGGGCGCGCAGCACAAAACCTGCATGCTCAATGCCACATCCAAGTTCATGGAGGTACTGAAGGATTTTTATCATCTACTGCATTTAAATGTTTTACATTTAAAAATTAAAAGGAATTGGTGAGGGATGGGGGGGTCCTTATACTTCATGATCTTAAAACTCTTAAACATCCCCACAATGTCAGTTCTCCTGACAGTTCAGTCAAACATTCTACAGATGCAGGACAAGAAGATGGCAAACCAGTTTTAGAGTGAAAAGAGTCATGATTCTAGTTCTTACTGTTATATTTAGCATAACTTCAGACACAACTGTTGCTCTGCACCAAAGTAAGAATTTTAAAACTAATTTACTAAGACAGAGGGGCTAGATGTTCAGGTTCACAGTGTTATTTATTTCAGCAATAAGAAACACAGTATAAGTTCTGTCTGACAGAGGAAGGGTGCTTGTGCTATTTGGGTAAAGAATGGTACTTACATATACATATATTAATATGGATTCTAGATCTCATATACAAATAATATAAAATTGCAGAACTTTTTAAAAGAGCATTTTAGTTTAGTAAACTCAGTTACGTTTTAATAACTGGCTACATTAATGTTCCTCTGAAAAGCTTAAGCACATGCTGAGTATATCGGGAAACATATCAAAAATGCATCCTTCTTTTGCAAAACTAGTTACATGTGATCTGAGGAGCAGAAGCAAAAAGATAACGATTTCTCTTAAATTAGCATAATTTAGTGCTTTGATGTAAGCATCATACAGCTCAGATTCCACAGTGTAATCATTTACAGACATCCCAATTCTTTCCCAAATTGGAAATTTCACAAAACTTGTGGTTTTTCAAGTGAGCCATTATCTTGCTTGGAAATGCTTGTTTTAAAATTGAAAAGGGCTCGTGAAAACTGCCCAAATGACAGCTTAAAATTGAAGTCTTCTGTTTATCTGCTGGCTTTTTAATTAAGTCAGTATTCAAAGTGAAAAAGAAAAGCAGGAGGTTATCAGGATTTGGGCAGGGTAAGTACACAAGCTACACTAGAGGAATACACCAGAGGAAAGGGGCTGGGTGGGAGAAGTTGCTCACTGATCACTATAGCTGGAAAAATACAATAGGTTGCTGCATAGGTCTCCTGCTTAAGTGTTGGAGTGAAGGGTGACACCGTGCCAGCCAGGGTGGCATCGAGAGCTGCAGAAAAGGGGATGAGTTGAGCTGATACTATCTTTAAAATCCTAAGTCTAAAGCCCTGTTTGTTTGCTTGTTTGTTTGTTTTCCTAGTTTTATTTCCTCTCTTTTGTCTGCTCTTCTGTCCTCAACGTTTTCTCTAGTCTGACCAGAGGCCTCCTCCAGGTCTTCCTAATGACATCGGTTCAAAAGAAATGTGTGGTCCGGTGCTCAGCAGGCCTCTTCCATAGAGAGGATGGAGCCTCCATCCAGCCCCCTCAGGGGTCAACATCCAGACCCTTTGCAGTGCTTGGGGGTCATTGGCACCACCGTGCAATGCGACAGGAAGAAGGGGCTGCCAGGCTCAAAGGAGTGTTGTGCTGCATTTCAAAACAAAAAAGGCAGAGTCCTTTTGATTTTTTTTTTAACTCAAGACCAAAATCCTCCTGCAATGTGATGGACAGAAGAAAATATCTGTACAAGCAGTTGAATAAACTAACCCCTTTGAAAGTTTCCCTATAGCATGAGGATAGACTTAAGGGTTAGATGGAAAAGAAATTTTGTATTTATTTTTACTAACTTCTAACTGAAATTTATCATTTACTTCAATTATGAAGGTGAGAAAGAAACCACAATTGTATTTAAGAGTACTGTAACTTTTTCACTGATAGAACAGACATTTTCACACCACATCACAGTGTATGATCTTGCGATATCAATTATGCTCATCATTACTTCAACATTCTAGTAATTATTAGAGCTGTGAATAGGTTTGGTATTTAATTTATTGATAAACATATATCATTATGTGGGAATTCTATAGTTAGTATTTTTATAGCCATGTTTTGATGTAATTGGTTCCATTATAATTATTGTTTTTATACTTTATTTCATTTTATTTCATGCATGTAAAAATATTGTTTTCAGAAGGAAATATAGTACTAAGCAGACCTCCCAAGGGGTCTGTGGCATAAAAATAGTTAGAACCCCAGACTGAACTTTTCATTTTCAGGAACCATTTTTAGATTATTTTAACAGACATATTGTAAATGTAGCCCAGTAGGCTCCTTTCTATATTCAGAAACTATCCAGTTTTTCAGAGCACCATAACTATGTTTTTTACTGTGGGAACCAAGATATTATAGGAGGCTGCATCCTTAGTAAATAAACAATCTGAAGAAACATCACCAGAAAGAAAAAAACCATTTCTTCCCAAGTTTGTGATTCATTTAGTGGGAAGAATTCAGATACCATGTCCATGTTTCATTTTTATAGGGTGTTAAGTCTTCTCCTTGAAAAAGACATGAAGCTGAGTAATCTCGGTATTTACAGAGTCTTACCCACAGGGAGATAATGCTAAGAAGGCTCCAGATAAGGTACGCTGCCTCAGTAGTCTCCAGGTGGCAGAGGGAAGAAATATAGTTATTGATGGTTCAAACTGGCTGAGTTTGGGGTCACATAGCAGGCATACCAGGCAAAGGGTTAGCTCCCCTTAACTAAAGCCACACAGATAAGCTTTCATAATCTTCACTGTTTCCAAACAAGACATTTACATTGAGTACACGTGAACCACAATAATCAAAAGTCAACCAGGCATTGGCAAAATTTTGAAATTCATCAATAAACAAAAATAAACATGTCTGAAATCATGTTTTATAAACTTTGGAGGGGAACTGTTTTTATTGATAAGATCTCTTGATATACAACTGAAACTAACTTCAGCTTGTAAAACAGTGCCCTTGTAAGGCTATTTTTCAAATATGCAGTTTCTTTTCATGCTGTTATAAAGAGAGGATAATTGCTGAAGTTTCAAAGTTATGAGTTTTAATGGCTACTCCCAACCCTTTACTGGAAGCAGGGTGCATGAACAGACACTATATCTTCAAGAATAAAGACTATGACGCTGTCGGAGGAACTACGTAGATAACTTCTGTATTATGCCCCTCACTTTCTCTCGCTTTTCTTCACTGGACAGTTTTACCAAGACGTAAAGGACTGGTGGCTGTTTGGGTTCTACTTCTGCATGCCCTTGGTGTGCACTGCAATCTTTTACACCCTCATGACCTGCGAGATGTTGAACCGAAGGAACGGCAGCTTGAGAATCGCCCTCAGTGAACATCTTAAACAGGTGAATCAATTACAGTCATGAATACCTGCCCAGGGTCGGGCCTGATTGTGAATGTCTATAATCCCAGCACTTGGGAGGCTGAGGCAGGACAATTGCTGCAAGTTTAAGGCCGGCTTAGAATACATAGTGAGTTTAAAACCAGTCTGAGCTATGTAGTGAGACTCTGTCTCAAAAAAATACAAAAAAAAAAAAAAAACCTAAAAAATTAAACTAAATAAAAAATAAATTTTTTTAAAAAATTTGAATACCTGACCAAATCAAAATCAGGAGGACTACAGTTTTTATGCTACATAACAGTATGTCAGTTTCAGACTGCACATATGACAGTGGTTCCATAGAGTTATAATGGAGCTAGAAAATTCTCATTGCTTAGTATTTTACTGCACCTTTTCTGTGCCTAGCGATATTTAGCCACACAAACACTATCATGTGACAGTTGCGTACAGTACTAAAGACAGTGTTATGCTGTACAGATATGAATCCTAAAAGCAATTGGCTGCACCAGGTAGCCTAGGTATGCAGCACGCTCTGCCACCTAAGTTCACCTGAATATACCCTCTGATGTTTGCAAAAGGATGGCATTGCCTAATCGTGCCATCTCTCCTGTCATACCTTTATCCTTAAGTGACTCATGACCATACTACATATAGCAGATTTTGCCTGGATTTGTAAAAATAAAAATACTGTTTTGCAACTTTTTTATAGTTATACTTTAGAAATTCTTTTTGTGAACTAGGGAGCCTGCTTGTGAAACAGATAGCCCTGAGGGCTGGGTCCAAAGGGAGAGGAACTATTCATTCAGTTTACCAAGAGCGTATTGAGCATGTGTATGTGGGTGTCTGTACATTATTTGGGATTGGGATTATGCCAAGACAGAAAGAAGCATATGACTTCCTTCCCTTGCAAGCTTTATATCCTAATTGTACAAATAAAATACAAACATAAAGCAATTAGAAAGCAGAATGACAAAGTATGATCCAAGTACCTTGTATTATAGAAAGCTGGAAGGAATATGAGACAGAATCATACTAAAACTGTTCATGAATAAGGAAGACTGAACCAGGCTTATTGAAGCAGGCTTTGGAGGATAAATGGAATTTAATGGGGAAGCAAACAGACGCTGTTTCGGTTGGAAGGGATAGAATCTTAGGGCACCGTCCACTTGGGGAATGGGAAAAAGGAGATGAAACTTACTAAAGCATCATAAGAGACTCTTGAAAGGAAGTACATAGGAAATACATAGGAAGAGGTAAAGTTTTGGAGGGTCCAAAGTTCTAGAAAAAATATGAACATATCAGCAGGAACTTAATGTTTAGCAGCAAACAGAATAATAATGCTTCAAGCTCTAGGAAGCAAAACTTGATTCTTGTACTTCTTGGCTGTGTGACTTCAGGCAACTTGTTTATCCTCTCTGAGTTTCCGGTTTTTCTTGAGATATATGTACTAATACATTATGGGGATTACCAAGGCATGTTAGGTGCCTAGTATTACCCAATTCTTCGTAGGTACTCAGCAAATGTCAATTTGCAGTTTCAGTGAGTAAAGCTAAGACTGTAAGTCAGTTTTCAGTCATGGTGGAGGAGTACGTGAGAACATCCAAGCACAGCAAAAATCAATGTGTGTTGTCAATAGAGTCTGTAAATCTGATCTATATAATTATCATACACAAGTGTCATTCTTCATCTGCAACTCTTTTCAACTATTACTTTCAACTGATTTTTCTGAGCCTAGATCTTCATCTGTAAATTGGACATAATATTATATGAATCCATGTTACTGTGAGACTCAGAAGAATTGATGTGGATGCATGTGCTGTGTAAAGTCTGTGTCACACAAATGACAACTGTATCTTTTTTATTTTAAAAAGAGAAAAGTCAGAAAAGAAAAACAAAAAACATAAAACATAAACAACAACAGAAAACTCAAAACAATAACAGGTTTTTAAAACAGAATGAAAGAACTTTAACAATGGTTATTATATTGCATATTGTTCTTTTTTTCAAAGAAAGAAAATAGAAAAACAGAAAAGAGGGGCAGAAAATACCAAATTCAAAAACATTATCATCATAGAATCGCTAGTTGATACATTACTCATTGTCATCTTAAAAAATAGTTGCCAAAGTCACAAAATCAAAGCATAAATAGTGGCTAGAAACTCAAACATCGACAGTAAAATTCCTTCTGTTCAGTGTTCCAACACAGATTCAGTACTATGGTCATCTATCTTACACACTGTACATACCGTTTTATACTCTGGAGCACTTCCCTTCCCTTTCACTTTCACCATACCTATTATACTTTTTGGATCCCATTATTCTGTCGCTTATTATTTTTTACACTAGAGAGACAATGCAATATTTACTATTATGAGTCTTGTTTATTTTACTAATGAGGATACTTTCAAGTTGCCTCCACTTAGCTATAAAGGCCTCAAGATCTTCCTTGTTTATAGCTGAGCAGAATTCCATTGTATAAAAATACCACATTTTTTTCCTCCACTCTGCAGTTGATGGGCATCTTGGTTGTGTCCAAGATTCAGCTATCACAAAGTGTGCTGCTATGAACATGGGTGCACAAATCTTTTCAATTTTTCTGGGAAAATAACCAGTAGGAGAATAGCTGAATTGAATGGAACTTCCAATCCTAGTTTTTGAGAAATCTCCACACTGATTTCCACAGTGGTTGCATCAGTCTGCACTCCCACCAACAGTGGAGCAGTGTTCCTTTTTCCCCACATCCTCACCAACATTTGTTATCAGTTGTTTTCTTGATGGCAGCCATTCTTTCCGGGGTGAGATGAAATCTCAATGCTGTTTTAATTTGCATTTCTCAAATGGCCAGTGATGGTGACATTTCTTCATGTATTTATGTGCCATTTGCATATCTTTATCTGAGAACTGTGTGTTCGCAACTTTATCTTTTATTGACATTTAGCAAGCCAGTTATATTAGTCAACTGTAGTATGACTTAGTTCAGCTGTTAATGTTTCAGATGCTTCAGATGCAAATATATTAAGCAATTAAGTCTCTTGCTGTGAGATGATTAACTAGAAAATATTTGTAAAACAGAGTATTCAAAATGTTGATTTTTGCATTAGTTCTATTATTGGGTCTTCTTAATCTCTAATACCTGCTCTGAAAATAATTAAATAGGGATTAAGAGTAATAACAACAACAACAATAACAATAAGCTGCTTCACATTTATATAGTGTTATTAAATCTTTTAAAAACATGCCAATGTGGAGGAAATGCCTAAAAAGTGAAAGTGGTAACCACTGTTAATTTCCTATTATCTTGTTTTGAATTCTTATTTTTTTTCATAATTTTGTTAGGCTTGGTTTTATTCTGTCTTACTTTGTTAGATTTTACTGTGTCTGCCCTACTTTTCTTGGTAACTCTATTTTTTCCCAGTACTAGGGATTGAGCCAGGTCCTTCACATTGATCTATATCCCCAGTCCTTTTTTATTTTTCATTTTGTTATGGGGTCTTGCTAAGTGGCCAGTCCAGGCTTGAACTCATGATCCTCCTGTTTAAGCCTTCCAGAGTGCTGGAATTACAGGCATGCACCACCATATCTGGCTCAGATCTACTTTCATACCTGACTTTCAAGAAGAAGAAAGGAAAGGCTATAGAACATTATTAGTATGTATACACCAAAGAAGTACACACACATGTGCACACACACACATACTTGTGGACAGTTTTTCTGGTAACACACACAGATCTTCCTTAAAGCTGTTAGAACTGTGTCAGGTCACTGTGTTGATGAAGTGACCTGCTCCATAACAAAACCAAAGATCTGTCTGATAATAAGGATGAATGTTGGTTAGGTGAATAGCACGCTGTCTGTTGCAATGTATTAATATTACTCCTTAAAAGACTTAACTTCTTTGAGAATATGCACTGGGAAAGTAAACTCTTCATTGTTTCCCTTTCTTTCCCAAGTTTTTCTGGGCACACTGTTTTTATGTGCACATAAAATGACCCTTTAAAATTCCCCTATTCCTATAGATTGGAATGTTTAGTTATCACTCTGGTGCCATATCCTAACTACAAAAGATTACAGAACTTGCTCAGTTATTTGGGCTAGATCAACAGTTTGTGACCCCTGCCACAAATTTTTATGAATGATTCAAATAAGTGGGTTTACCGTAGGCTTCCATGGTTAATGTTACAGGCTTCAGTGGTGTTGAACCAGCGTGATCTTTCCAAATCCTGTTTGCCATCAGTTTCGTTTTGATATTAATTGACGCCACTTACAGACAAGTTGTATTTTATGTTCGTACTTAGGCTTCCAGTTGTGTGCAGTATGATACTCAGGCATAATGCACACAATGAAGGGTTACAGATAATAATTCCTAACTTACGGTTTCTCTCTGATCTTGAGCAATTCAAAGGCTTGTAAGCCTTCAGCTGAAGGATTGTCAGTCCAGGATCGTCATGTTCCACTTTCAAGATTCTCACCAGTGATAATCTTTAACCTAAATCCTTCTGCTTGTGAGCAATAATCTTTGGAAACTGTATCTCATTCATAAAAGATTTTTTTAAAAAAATCTAAAACAGGCACCATGGTAAATGCCTGTAGTCCCAGGTGTCCAGGAAGCTGAGGAAGGAGAATCGCATAAGTCTATGAATGCAAGACCAGTCAAGGCAAAACTAGCAAACCCCGTCTCAAATAAGTAAATAAAAACAACAACAACAACAAGCTAGCTAGCTAGTCTCAAGATAAGGAAAAGGAGAAAACACATTGCTATGTTTTGTATTGTTTCCCCATCGCTGTTTGTTTTCCAGATGTCTTTGTAGATCTGTCCATTCTCCTGCTGTGTTCGGTCAGCTGTCTGCCATGCTATTATTACCTACCTGTGACTGAGCTTTTATCTAATCTTTTCCCCTTGTTCACCTCCACTCACCTAAGCACACAGACACAGTTGCACACATGGCTCACACTCAGCCGCAGCGTTGACTCACCTGCAGCCAGTTCCCCAAAGGTTATACCCTGACATACAAAATCTTTCCTGGCTTAATAGCCTGAGGCTGTCATCCCTTCCTGACAGCTGTCTAAAAACATCATCAGCAAGCCCTTGATGCAGAGGTTACACTCCAGATCTGGAAGAGGCAGGCGTTCTGTGAGGGGCCATTCTCCTAGCTCATCTTTGAGTTACCTTCTTGTGTAGTTGTGTTAAGCAGTGAAAAAACACCAAACTTACTGAATGGTTCCTTCTCACTTTTCCTTTAGCGTCGAGAAGTGGCGAAAACTGTGTTCTGCTTGGTTGTAATTTTTGCTCTTTGCTGGTTCCCTCTTCATTTGAGCCGTATTTTGAAGAAAACAGTATATGACGAGATGGACAAGAACCGGTGTGAATTACTTAGGTATGGCTCTTTGTACCCATTAGGAAATTGGAGTTTCACTGCTTTTCACATTTATAAAATTTTTACATCTTCTTCACATTCTCATTAGCTCTGAAAATTAAAATTGCAAAGATGATTGTTTTTTAGCTGACATAGCCCATAACTGATCCCAAAATTTGTGCAAGCCATGTGTATAATCTTCCAGTCCCTCCTGGGGCTGTGCATAAGAGTTTCAACTAACCAAGAGGTAGATCTATCTGTAACCATTCTGCAGAACTGAAACTGCCACTTAAACAAGCACTTTTTACAGAATTCTAAGTGTCACCTCTACGACATGGCTTCTGGGCAAGAAAAATGCTTATCCTAGGGATAAATGCAACTTAGCAAATTTTGAAACAATATGTTCTAACTGTTCTATTTTCTTTTGCTCTAGTTTCTTGCTGCTCATGGATTACATTGGTATTAACTTGGCAACTATGAATTCATGTATAAACCCAATAGCCCTATATTTTGTGAGCAAGAAATTTAAAAATTGTTTCCAGGTAAGAATGTTCTCCTAATATTTTTTAAAGACAACAAAATGAGTTTACTAAATAGCCACAGGTGTGACAATTCCAATGTTACTGTTACTTCAATCAGTGATAGTCCTTTTTAGCAGAGATGTGCCAATCATATTCTGTTACTTAGAAAGAAGGTTGGATTGTGAGCATAACAGAAAAGCAGTATCTACTCAGACAACAAACATTCTGAGGTTAAAACCAAAAAGATTGAGTCGACTACATGCCAGTTAAGTGTTCTTTTCTAAAAGAAATGCTCAAATGTGAGTTGTAGATACACAGAGTACATATAACTAGTTCTCACCTTATGTTGTTTTAGACTTTGATCATAGCCTCAACAAAACATAAACTCTGCAGTTAAGAAAGCTTTCATAAATGCTATTAAATAGCGCATTTAATAATAACCTCTTCAAGGAAAGTACTTATGGTTGTGGAAATCTGTAATACTAATCATTTCATTAGAAATCACTTTCCTTCTGTCCTTAGACCTCCTCTTCCAGCGAGGCCAGCAAATCCTCCAAGAGCTTTGAGCACTTTTTATTGCAATGTCAGTTCCCAGAATGAGTTTAGTATAGACCTAATCCTAACTGGATTTTATTATCTTTGGCCAGGATGTTTGACTTTAGCTCCTTATTTATTAAGCAAAGTTGCATGAAGGTTAAAGGTGCTTCCTCTGAATGAAACAGCCTCAACTGACATCACATCTCTGGACTTATGAATTGTCTAATCCTGGTCTTGTTGGTTCCTCTCCTGTTTCCTCAGTTTCTCCATCCAAAAATTGGATAATCATAGTATCTGTCTCATAAACCAGGTCTAAAGGTTTAATAGAAGTAAAGCTCTTGAAACAAGTGCTCAATATGAGTTGATTATTGTTAGGGACACAGTAGAGAAGGAAAGCACAGTAGCAGCTCTCACAAAACTTACATCCAAAAGGAGAAAGACACATAATAATCAAAGTATCAAACAAATAGATGCGACTCAGAATGGAAGTTTTAGTGTTTTCGAGTCACAAAATGCTATGCCTAAAATGGATTAACTAATACACTGGTCATAACTGATGTATTTTATAAGCTGAAGTTGATATCACTTGTTAATTTACATATTAATTATATAGACTGGGAGAATCAAGGTACAAAAATTAGACAGATCTTCTTAGAAAGGCAGCATATCGAAGAGGAAGAATCCAATCTCTGGGTTCTAATTCAAGTTCAGTCTCTTGCCAGCCTCTCGGCCTCACGACCTTTGTTCATAGAAAGAGATAAATAGCATCTGCCACTTAGCACTGTAGTGGGGTCCTATGAGGTACCTGATGCTGAGAGTCACACATGGGTGCCCACTGAACGAAAGGCACCCATGCCTGCCCAGGCCATGGAGAACCCTTCCTCTGACCACTTGCCTTCTTTTCCTCTTGCACTTTGCGAATTGAATTAAAACAAGAAGAGATCTCGTTCTCCATCCTAGAGTGACAGTTTAACAGCCCTAGTATACACCTGGCCCCCTTGTTGGTGTGCCAAACCAAAGCCTGGGGCACAGCCTGGGAATGGGTTACTGGCCCACCTCACTCACAGTCTGTCTCGTCTCCCAGTCATGCCTCTGTTGCTGCTGTCACCAGTCCAAAAGCCTGATGACCTCAGTCCCCATGAATGGAACAAGCATCCAGTGGAAGAACCATGACCAGAACAACCACCACACAGACAGGAGCAGCCATAAGGACAGCATTAACTGACATTTTCAGAGGCATCCATCAATATGCCTTCAATTCCTATCAGAGGGAAGAACCATCACCCAGCAACTGTGTCTCCAGAAATCCCAGATCCTTCTTGTGTAACTCGACTGCACCCCTGTGGGGGCCAGAGTGCTCCCCAATGCACTCCCAAACAGTGGAGAGTGAAATGGTTTATACCCACAATGTCAAGAAAACCTACTTCTTTAATTTCTCTCGTTTGCATAGTTTGTATGTTGTATTCAAGACTAAAAATGGGTGGAGAATGGAGACTGTTGGATTAAACTAAAAGGATTTTGCTACTTTGGCATGAAAATAGTCTTCAAGTGAATGACTAGCTTTCATGGCAGTTCTGCTGTGAGTTCTATGGGACTGGTCATCACAGAAGTTTAGCAATTGTGACAAAATTTTCTGTCTTTTAAGTCCTTTTTGAGGAACACCAATGAGCCTGGGTTTAAGTCACTTTTCTTTAAAATGCCATTCAATGCAGGTATTTTTTAACCACATACTAGCCCATAGATGAGTATTTGAGCTAGTTTACACATATTCTGATTAAAAACAATATTCAGGTGAGCAATTAGGCTGTGTCTTGTGTATTTTATTTTTAGGGTGTGGATTCTAAAACAGCCATATATATATATATATATATATATATATATATATGTATAGGCACTTAAAGCACAGACTGATAACATGTAGCAACTTAATAGCTGCTTCTAAAAAATTTCAGAGCCTATATTTTCTTTGTTCATGGTGTATTGGTATAGATCTGGAGTATATTTTTGTGTCAAATTCCAAAATAATACTTGGATCAAATAGTTCTATTTTTCACAAACCCAGTCTTTTTAATGTAAGTTTTTAAATGTAAAACTATGTTCAAAATTTAAATTAACATAGTGTTTACCAATGCCTGACACCTTCAGTGCAATGTATAGAGTCTAAAGCAAACATGCATGAAGAAGACTGGACAGAGGATTTGGAAATTTCCATTGAGTTTTTGTAATAGTACCACATATCCTTGCATTCTCTTAATTTCTTAATTTCTCCTAACAAGTTAAGTGGCTTTAAGACATTTTGGGTCATTCCTTTCTCTGGGTAGGCAACATAATTTCAGAGTCGCCAGATGAGCTTTTCATGTCAGTGAGATATTGCTACTCTCACCATTAAATTTTAGTTCTTCGCTTCTCTGAGTTTCCAGTGGGAACCTAAATTCTCACCTCATCCCCTATTCCACACACGGTCAAAATTTCAAAGGGCCCACAGTGACTTTTGCTGGGCGTTTTCCCAAATGTTTACAGACTGTGAGTATGCAAACAAAAATCTTACTCGGTGTATGTATATATATATGTATGTATATAAACAACTGTAAATTCATTTTAACCGTTGTTTTGGTGATTGTCTCTATGGAATGCATTTGTGTATGTGGTATATGCACACGTGTGATGGTATGTGTGATTTAACCTAATGCCCTGTGATTGTGCCAAAGCACAGACTCTGTGTGAAATCTAGATGATTGTTTCATCACAACAACCCATGTGGGTCAGTTTTCACATTTTAGAATCTCCTGTGTTAGGAAATTTTGCAACCATGTTACCATTGCAAATAAAACATGGAAGCAGCATGCAAGGGAATGAGCCATGAGTTCATCACAACATGGGGTTTTGTTTGATTGGTTCGACAAGGCAGTATTTGGGGTCACATTGTTCCCTGTGCTGGAGCAATAGACATTACACTTTGACGTATTCTATTGTTCTGATCTCATCTCATTTTGGTGATGAGATTGACAAGTAGCCTGATGTTTCTTTCAAATTTTGCCAGATTTCTGGTGATGAATGAGCTGAGCTAATGTGTTGGGTCATGATGTAGCACAGCCATGAGTAAAATACATGAGGTTCCACTTGCTTTCATTGCAGGGTTAAGTAATACTGCTCCTTTGTGTGTGTGTCACATTTAGTTATGCCACTGGCACATCATATGCAGTGATATAAGCCTATAATGTAAGCCATAAATCCACACCATTTTCTTTAGACTGTTGTCTTTTTTTAAAAGATGCTTTGTTTCTTACATGTAAAAACATGCATTTTGTAAATTCAGAAAGTCATAGCTTTCTGAGTAACTATACAAGCCTCCATGTGCATTTTGTATATGGACCGGTAACAACAGTGTACTGTAGGAATATTTCCAACTTCTACCTTTACGACATCTTTCCAACAAGTAACTTTGTAGAAATGAACCATAAGCTAAGGCCCTAAATTGGCAGCAGCCCAGAAATGTAAATAAAAGTTTACATCAGTTTCGCAAGCGACTTTTCATTTTACACGGTTCTTCGTTAACAACGCATTTCACACTCTGCCTGTTATAAAGCTCTCATTAGTGTTAATTAAGCAAGAAATTTTACCGTCATGCTTTCTCAGCCAACCTACTTTCTTGAACCAATCATCTACTTCTGTCATTCATTCCTTTATTTTACCTTTCCGGTGCATTTTGAGCATTTACTATGTACCAGCCATTCTTCTAGATAATAGAGATGGAGCAGTGAACACAGCAGGAAAGGTTACTTTCTCATGAAGCTTGCTTTCCAGAGAAAGGAGGAGGCAATAAGCAATTACAGCCAATGAAGATTATTTCAGGTGTATATCTTGAGAAAAGCATTCACCTACATCCAGATCGCCCGCTTGACCTCTCTAGTCGAATAGCTAATTGACCACAGTATGTTCAAACAAAGCTGTGATGTCCTCCAGCCTGTGCTACTATAATAATACTCTGTCCAGTTAAATACAAGGCCATCCTCTGAGTTATTAAGATAACGGCTTCGAAGTCATTCTCATTCTTTTCTCTGAGACCTCACAGCTCTATCTTCAGAATATTCCCAATGCTGTAACTGTCTCTGTCTCTCCCTCCCTACTCTGCACATTGTCTTTTTCCAGAAAACTTCAATAAGCTTCTACCATGCCTATTTCTCCCTTGTAAGCAGCTGTACCCCGCTTGGAGCCTGTCTGTCCTTCCCATAAGTGTTTAGGTTAAGCTAGGCCGGTGGTGGCGAACCTAGGGCATGTGAGCCACAGCAGGCTGTCTGTATCACTGAAAGCTCTAAAGGTGTACCATCACTGAGCTAGCCTAACCAGCCTCTGCTGGAAAATTCCTTTATAAAGTAGCAGGAAAAAAGAGAGAAAGAGACCTCCTTTCCCCCTGCGGCAGGATTGAAAAATTGTCAGCCGGAAAATTGCTGGCCACTGTGGTTTGGGATTATGAAGAAAGTCAGTGTAGGCTGTCATAAAGATTTTTGTAAGAGAGAGAAAGAACAATTAAGTCCTCAATTCAGTTCTCCTTGATGCTCTCCCGTGGCTTTAGTCAACAAACCAATACTTTTACCTTTTTGCCTCTGCTAGTTAAATTGTTTCCTTGCTTATGAGGCACATTGTAAGACCATCTTATTTAAATTATATCATCTTTTGTTATTGTTCTTAGAGCAGTTTTAAGTTTACAGACAGAGTGACCCAAAATTGCAGGAAGTTTCCCATGCTCTCTTTCCCCTTGTCTCTGCACCTCCTTTCCCCATTATTTCTGTCTTGTATACAGTGGTACAGTTGTCACAGCTACGAACCAATAGCAAAGCTATACTAATTGCTACCATCCATAAAGCTCACTCCTTGTGCTCTGTCATCTATGGATTTTGAAAGCTGTACTGTGTCACTTACACTTCATTTCAGATTATTCATGCAAGTCCTACTGACCTGCAGTCCCTGCCCTCTCCCATTTATCCCTCCCTCCCTCTTTCAGTGAACTGTGTGAGGCTCTCTCATCTAAGACTCTCAGGAGGAACATTCAATCATTGGCTAAAAGAATAACATAAGAGAGTATTGCCTCTGCATTGTAAAGTTTCTGAAGAAAGTCACTAAATGTGATTCCCTATTCAAAAATGAAACTACTCAAGAGCCTCAGTGGTGAAATTGTAAAGTGCTTACCAGGCATGTGTGAAGCCCTAGATTCACCCCGCAGCAGTGCATTTATACATACATGTAAACCACCTACCTGGTAAGTTTTAAATTACTAAGATAATAAGACAAGTTTCAAACTAAATCTAGGAAATAGACAAAACCAGTAGGAGTGTTTGGTTAATCTATCACCACCACTGTCTTTAATAGTTTTACTAGTCTTTGTTATAATATTGAAAATTATCAGAGGAGGAAAGACACTTTCAGTCTTCCCAAACCCATCCAGTCTTGGGACTCCAAGGCTTACATTCCATTGTCTGTAAAGAATGATCCAAGGCAGCACTATCTATATTAATTTATGTCATACTTCAAATAAGCAAAGTTAAATTAGTACAAGCCCAGCACACATAGTAGATTTTCTGATATTAGCCGGGTCTTCATTCTAAAAAGTTCCAGTGGTTTTTGAAGTAATCCTACGTTTGGAAAAGTGTCCGCAGTACCTTTCTCTAAGTAGTAACAAAGACAGCTCATTGTCTATATTTGGTCAGCACTAACTTTAATTTTGTTTCTAGATTAAACTAGAAACCCATACATCTACTCTCCCAAGCTTTTAGCATCAGTGTTATTCAACAGAGTCCATCGACTGGGAGTAATAAATTAGGAACAGCAGTGCCAACTCTACATATAATTAGAAGAGTCATGGAATCTCCCTAGGGGACCATAAAGAATTCCACAGATTTTTCCTGTTTGGTCTTACCCCACAGTGCTCTTTTCTAGCTGATCTACGTGGAATTGATCATTGTTTATTTGGGTTTGGCTCTGTGAAGTTTGATACAATTGTGCACTTGGTGCTGTGTGATACGTCTGTCCCAGACGGGAGTTATGGCCTTTCCCAGTATACACAGTGTCACATGGTTAGCTAAGTTACATGCCACGGGCACCTGTAGGACATAACCCTGGCTCCTTCCCTTTTCTCACATTATTTTTCCAGAATATAGCCATTCTCCATGAACTGTAGCTCTCTATTTCTCTCCAAGTATGATTATTAAGATCAACTCCAGTTGCATTCCTTTGCTTTTAAAAATACCTTAAAATGGGAAAATCTAAAAGTAGGTAAAGGGAATGTATGTACTCCTTTAAACTTCAGAGGCAAACATTTTCATAATGCAATGCTGACTTTGGCCTACTTTTTCCTCTGTGTTATGAAACCCAGTGGGTAAAACCTGTAATACTCCCTCTAACTTCCAATCAAGACCCTGTTGGAAAGGATGGAATTCTGCTGACCAGCTTAGGGTGGGTAGAGCCAAGTCCTAGGGCTGGGGAAGATAGGGAGGAAGGTCTTCCTAAAGAAAGGGAAAGGAAGATGTCTTTTCTTCAAGGATACTATTTATCTTGTTATTCCTTATTTATGACATTTTTTAGTTCAGTTAATTAAAAATAATTTTCCCGTTTGAATTCTAAAAAGGACACATAAAATCCACATAGAATATATTTAACCCCTTTACAGAACAATAATGGATAAACAACTTATGCAGGTAAGAAGGAAAAGTCCTGTGTGTGGGGTTATATGACCATTCCTCAGTATGCAAAGGGGATTGGTTCCAGGATCCCCTCACAAACCAAATCCATAGATGCTCAAGTCCCTTGTGTAAAGTGGCACAGTATAGAATGTACACACATCTTCCTGATACTTTCAACCACTTTTAGATTACTTGTAATACCTAATTATATATGAACAAGAAGTAAATACATAGTTGTTGTGCTTTATTGTTTGGGAAATAATAAGTATTAAGGTCTCCAGATTTTCAGTGTAAACGCAAATTTTTTACAAATATTTTCAACCCAACATTTGTTGAGTCCATGGATGGGGAACCTGTGGATATGAAGGACTACCTAGAGATAGATAAATGACACAGAGATAGTTAGATCATAGATAGATGACAGATAAATAGATATACTGACATACTTACACTCAGTCCTTTGCTATGAGGCTATTCAAATGAGGCTATAATGTAATCTCACAGGATATTTAAGGAGAAATGAGACAGCTGCTAGATCACAGAGTGAGAGCATGTTAGTATCACGAAGTACCATCAGGCTGTCTCCAGAATGTCCACACAAGTACAAAGTTGATCCATTATTGAAGTTTTCAGCAGCACTGTGTACCTTGCAACTGTGCCACCTTATGTGGGAACCTTTCCACTGGGGGTGCATATAGCTGTGGCGCTCCTCCGCCAGTGCTCTTGCTATGAAGTATTCGCACCTGTCACTTTCAAGAGTCAGAGAGTCCCCAGCTTATAAAAAGTTCTTGGAAATTTTACAGTCTCCTCTACTCCCACTAAAAGCCTGTTTCTTGTGTCTTGGGACAGAGTGACAGAAAGCACCTCAGAACATCAGGCTGAGTCTCAGCACTTCATCTGAAATTTCACCTTTACAAAGCTTCTTCCCTCCCCCAGGCTGCTGCTTGGGATCCTGTGCTAGTTTCTGTTGGGAGCTGTACTGTAACAAATCACTCCCACTGCAAGCTTTGGCTCAGCCTCTGGAATATCCTACAATGACAGCAAATATTTTTATTTCACTGCTCAACATAATGACAAATTTTTGAAGTTGAATATGTTGTCTTCTTCAGTGTATCATATTTGAAGGCACTCTTTTGAGTTTTTTATCTAGGGCACGTTAGTATGTAGGAGGTCTTTCTCTTAATTGTAATCCAAACTTCCTCGCCTTCAGCTTCAGTCCCTGTTCTGTGAAAATGTGGCTTTTCTGTCCAACAATCATGTTGCCTACGCTAGGAACCCCATCTTTGACTCATGGGAGTGTTGTTTTTGAGCTTTTTTGTGTGTCCAAAAATTCCTTGGATCAAAACTCAACTGAAGTCACCCTTAAGAGAACATTCCCCTCCCCAGCATCTGACAGGCAAAGGTTTAGTTCATTTACGGTACTGGAAACCAGTAATAGAAGTAACTAGGTTTGTCACCAGCAGGGAAGCATAGAGGGCAGGACAGGCGCTCTCCCTGGGGGTTGGGCAGCGGGAACTCAGGGACTGGATGGCAGCCCAGGGAAACAGCAGGGTCAAAGGAAAAGTTTATCTAATACTTTTTTTAAGGAGAACAACCTCAGCACTTTCAAGACAGAAGAACTGTGGTCAGTGAGAGGAAAAGACCATGTAGGGATAGAACAAAGACGACTGATGGATCAAGGTCCCAGAAGAGGTACAAGGAGGAAGACACTTAGCCTCACAAGGAAGATTCATCCTCCCTGACTGCCAGCAGTGCCTGCTCTTCAGGCATCTTTGGCTCAGGTTCCATGCCGTCTGTCCATATTTTAGACATATGGACAAGAACAGGGATGTGTGAACTGGA